TATAGCGCGACCAATCGCGTACCTCTGCAGCGGCGGCGGTCGGTTTTAAAAAGTTTTTCGTTATCACCTCTTTACATATCATTTCGCCGATTTTTGAAATTTTCGGAAAATTAGCTGTTTTTACACGATTTCGACCCTTTTCGTCCTTTTTTATACTTAATTCGAAGCCGCAGGTGTGCGGTTTATATTCGTGCGCCGTCCGAAGCGGTCGCAATGTCGATCGAAAAATACACTCCCGACCGGACTTTTTTGCCGATTTTTTCCTTTTCTCCCACCGTTTCGTCTATTCGCACGCCGTTTGTGCCCGAATCGTGTAGTCGACGTCTTTTTAAAGCCATTTATATTGGCTTTTCCCCCGAAATCAGTTCGTTCGCCTCGCAATCGCGTTTAGAAATTACGCCGGCGACCGACCGACCGTACGCGTATATATTATACATGTATATACGTGTATAATTTAATTTTTCCCTATGATGTAATAATTATTAACGGAAAACGCTTTTCACACGCCCGTTAAATATATATACCTATGGGAGATGCGCGTATTACAAACGAATTATATGCGATTACATCGATGTACATCGAATATATCGATTTACGTCGCTCCGTAGACGCACGGCTTAACTGTTGATGTTTTGACCGTATTTCATATCTCAAACTGTGTCCAAGTAGGTTAGGCGTTATGTAGGAAATACGTAGGTCCCGGGTTCGAGTCCGTCGTGCGCTCGCCGGGCGTCGAAACCGTCATTGCCATATGGTTTACACGGCCCCCCGGAACCCGACTTTTTTTGCATTTTTTTTCACTATATTTTTCATATAAATTAAATAATAATATTATAATAATACAGGAACATATTATCGTACATTATTATTATTTAAAGTCATTGTCATATTATATCACACAATAAATAGGCACATATTATATTTGTTTTATTAGGAATTATTATAATTGCATATTTTTTTAAATTTCCATGATTGTTGTATAAATATAGTTTGTATTTTATTTCGGATTGCCTACCTAGGTGGTTAACTTTCAAGTTAATCTTGATTTTGACTTGAGATGACTGACTTGCTAGACACTCCAACACGGTTTTCGACTTTACACTTTTTACACAAGAAAAGGCGCCGGACATGCGAAGGCACATATCACTCTATGTGATATACCTACTATATATAGGTGATAGATGGATTGCTAATTTTGGTTTCGTCTTAAACGGTAATGATTGAATTGATAGACACTTTAACATGCAGTTATCGTTGATAAAAAAACGATGATTATGTGATTTGAATTTTTGATTATTTATTATATTTTGTATTATTTTATTTTATTCATCAATCATTATTAAATATAATTACACATAATTAAAACCAAAAAATAAAAAATAAAAGGAAAAAAAGGACCAAGGGAACAAAAACCATGAAAGTAAAAACCAAATTTTTATATTTTGGTTTATAATAATAATAATAATTTATATTCATATTATAAATTCGTTTTACAATAACTATAATTTCTTCCAAATTTGAACTTAAATTTAAAATCGTTGTTTTAAATTTTCAATCCTTAGCTATAAAAATTGAACAATTTATAATTTTTAACTACGTTTTAAAAATTTGTCACAATACAATAATAAGAATAATAATTTCAAATAAGTTTCAAGTTTTAAAAAAATGTTAATACAAACATACAGTCTACAGTTATAATAATAATAATTTCAAATAAGTTTCAAGTTTTAAAAAATTGTCAATACAAACATGCAGTCTACAGTTATAATAATAATAATTTCAAATAAGTTTCCTGTTTAAAAAAATTGTAAGTTTAACATCGTCATATAAATGTAAAAAAAAAAATTATAAAATTATAAATGTTAAAATAAATCATAATTAAATAATAAAATATTGTTCACAAGTATGAATCGAGTATGATCGAACGCTGATGTAGTACTTATAGTTAAAAATTTGGTGGAATTTTTCAATGACTCTCTAATTTGTGTACCCTCAATTGATGATAAAGTTGATAGATGTTGATTTGGTACTTTTTTTTTTGAAATAAATCTTGCTTGCGGTTCAATTTTTCTTTTTCTGGCCAATTCTAAGTTTGAAGTTTTTTTAAAATCTATATTTTTTCCTAACGTTGTCAATATGTTATCGCACTGTCTAATTATATATATTTGATCTTCTTCGTTCATATTTGCTCGACTATGCATACCAAGTATCATTTCTAATTTGTTTTTAATTTCTTCATTGTTTTCCATTATATTTTCATTTTGCTTCAATATTTCTTATTTTTGTAAAAACCCATTATCGACAACTAAATCACATGGTAATGGCAAAGACTGGTTTTCATTTTCTACTGTTTCTGAATCTGATGCAGTCTGTTGTTTAGCACATGCATGTATATGTTTACAAATGTTAAAATAAATAACATTATTCATGCAAGTACATTTATAAGTGTGTACACATATTTTACAGATATTACAACGTAGTAGACAATCACATGATACTGTGGTTTTTTCGACTCTATATTGAATATTTAAGTCCGTCTCGGAATTAACCAACCAATTACCATTAACTTCAACAACCATATCCGGTGTGATTTTTGTACTTTTATTGTGAGCTGCAATAATTTGTGTCAGTTTATAAGACATTTTCTGTTTTGAAATTTTAATGATTCTTTCAAAACTTTTGTCTCTTGCCAATGACATTAGGGCATTAATCGATAAATCTAAACGTTTGCAGCTTTTGCCTTCTAAATAACAATATTTTATAGATTTATGAAGTGCTTCAAGGTACATGTTAGTATTAATACCGACATGTTTTCTATTGAAATAGGCCCACTTTTCTGCTCTCTGTGAATATGTAGTCTTAAAGTACTTTCCGAAATCTGCTGTATCTTCATCATTTAGAATATCATCTAATACCTTTTGCAGCTCAATCACAAAATTATTTTCGTCTGTTTCGTATAACAAAGCTTTTAAAGTTTTGAATACAATATTTTGTTTTTCATTTGAGTGAATCTTTCTTAAATTTTTTGCCCAGTTCCTTAATACATGCCAAGTACACAATAGCTGTTTGCCTGCAAGTCCCATTACAGCATTCCATGCGTTGTAAAATGCCGGTTCATCATCAGACATAAAAATGTTTGCATTAATATTACCAGTTATATTTTTGATACACCGAAAAAGTGGCTGTATACGTTAGTATCAGATCGATTGGAAAAACAAAAGGCTACGGGATATCCATTTCCGTATTCATCTACTACAACTACAGTGTACAGTTGGAAGTTATACCCATTTAGTCTATGTGTACCATCTAAACATACTTTGTCCTTTCCAAATTTTAATAATAACTCAGATTGAAATTGAGTCATTATTTCAAGACAAAAATCATTCAAAGTGAAGCATGGAACACAATTATCATTAACTCCTTGTTGCTTATAATATAAAATTGGACTTTCATCACCTTTTTTCATCATTTCTTTTACCCAAAGATCTACACTTATTGCATCATTTTGGTGTTTTTTTGTTGAGTATGAAATATTAAAATCACGCTTGATATTGTATATATCTTTTTTTCTAGCAAATTAATTCTTTTAATACTATCCATCTCAATGTTTGATGATCGAACATCTTGCAAAATTCTGTTGACTGGAACACCCAAGGATAATTTTCCTATTAAAAATATTGAAAGGTTATATTGACATAATCTATTAATCATATATGATATATTATATAATTATGAACATAAATAACTTTATATTTGTTTAATGATTCATATAAGTTACCAGCAATCTTACTCCTATCTTCATTGAACAATCTTAGTTTTCCTATATCCTTAGTATGCCATAAGTGTGTACTATAATATTGTACATTAATTTGTTTATTGTCTATGTGTACTTTCATGTTGGAAGGGCAAACATGGCCGTTTTTACGGATCCACCACTTTTTGTACATTTGTGTCCCTGTTTAATGATTGGTTTTATTAATCACAAATTGGTTAAGTACATTTTATGTTAAATATCTTACTTTGTTTGAAGTTCTTGGTCCAAATGATCTGGGGCAAAAATAGTATACATACTCTTTATGTAAATTTTTTTTCCATTTGTTAAAATCTGTTAATTTGTTATTTAATTAAGCTATACTCTTTTAGTTATTAACTTACATTTACATAACTGAAAAATTCAGTTCCTTTATGAAATATTATTATAAAAATACATACATGTCCACAATAACATCAAAAGTAAAAGCCAATATTTTCAGCCAAATCACAAGAAATGTTAATATTTTACCTATAACATTTAAACGATATTATATGTATCTAGTACATTTACCGTATACAATTTCACAGTTAATGTGAATTACCCTTAAATGTACAAAAAAAAAATTTACCGTTATAAAAATCAAGTGACTACTTCATATATTATATTAAAAAAAACTGCACTAAAATATCTACATTATATTTCAAATTAAAGATACTGACTCTCCAATCAATTAACATACTGAATAAATAATATTTTATAATTTTGATTTTTTTTTTTAAATATCATTTTTCACAGTGTTATAATATATGTATTTTTTTTTTTTTTTTTTAATTTTTTATCCCGCGGCAACTTAGGCCATTGAGAGAGGGGGTTGGTACTGTAGGTTTTTTTTAACGGTAGGGGGGTGTTACACTTGGGTGTATTTTGGCAGAATTTTTGAATGGGGCACCCGTAGGTTTCTGCCATGCCCCGGAGTGGGGGATGGCGGCACTTGTTTTCCGGACACCGTGACTTGCCCAGAGAAAAATGCCGCCCAGTGGCCGGGAGTCGAACCCGCGACTGCCAGCGCCGCAGACGACGTGTTAGACCGCTCGGCCACCTCGTCCCCCCCCCCAATATATGTATTATACAAAATGAAATGAGGTAGGAAGCCCACAGTTTCAAATGACGAAATTTCTTCTGTTTTGAAAGATTACAAAGATAAAATTATTATAAAAAATAAAGTAATAGTGCCGTCAAGTTCTTTATGGCCTTATGGGTAACTTTGATTGAAAACAATAATTGGAATATACACCCAAAAGCTTTATGGACACAAATTCATAAATTTTCTCCAAATTTTGATGATTTTTTCAATAATAAAAAACAACATATTCAAACAACTTTTTATGATGATGATTCTGATTCAGCCACAGGTGATTTAAACAGCTCCATTGATCAAGAATCTCAGAATGATGATTCTTTAGTTTATACAGTTTTTATATCAGCAGAGCAATGGAAAATTATGCAACGCGATGATGGGATAAAAAATAAATTAAAGCCTGGAATTTGGACCAATACACTTGCTGATGCTATTTATGATCAACTAAGATTTAATTTTGGCTGGTCGTTTAAGTCTCATGAGGTTCCTATTAATGAGAATTCTGCATATTTTTTCAATTTCACTGCCGTTTGCACAGATACGAATTGTCTTACAAAAACATGTGGAGAGGTACTAAAGCATATAAATTTAGCAGATCTACTGAAATTTGGTTTAAAGATAACATTATATATATTTGGGTATAATAATGTACAGCATCTAAAAAAAAGGCGTTTTGGAGGTAATCGTAGACAAGAGATAACCGAAAAAATTTTGAATACATGCTCCAGTTCATCTTTATGTCGAAAAGAATTAGCAAACCAATTATCAGAAGATTTATTTGATGCTGAAAGTCCTTTACTTCCTTGATTAGCAACCATCCGAAAAGCTAAAAGTGAAAAACTTTGTGAAAGTCGCCATGATTCAAATGTGGTTTTATCATTGAATGCTATGCAAAACTGTGATCCTTGGCAAATGATAATAAAAAATGTTGGTATGCAACCTTTTTTTATACATTATTGGACTCCGGATCAACTAAGAGTATATAATGCATTTGTTAAGAATGAACGAGCTGCTAAGATTTCTATAGATGCTACTGGTAATGTTGTAAAGAAAATTGATCGGCCCTCCGGATTATCTAGGTACATTTTTCTTTACCTCATTGTAATCAAATTACCAAATGAATCTGAAGGTCAAATTTCAGTAGCACAAATGTTATCAGAGGCACATAATACCAATGCAATAGCTTATTGGCTCTTAGAGTGGCGAAGAAATGGCGCTCTACCACCTAAAGAAATAGTCATAGATTTTTCAATGGCTTTTATAAACGCAGTTTGTATGTCATTTGCTGGATGTGCTGAAGGATCTTCCACATATATTCAAAGGTGCATGGATGTATTGATTAAAAGTCCAGAATATAAATTGCCGTCATGTTATGTTCGTGTTGATGTCGCACATTTATTGAAATTTGTAACTACATGGAAATCATTAAATGATATACATGTACGACGACGCGTAAAAGAGTTTTACGTCAGAGCTATTGGCCAATTAGTTATGGCTACAGATTTTAAGGAATTTAAATTTCTGATAAAAAATATTTTTGTAGTAATCCTGTCAGAATATGAAGGTGTAGTAAATGGAATTGATAACCATTGTGAAAAAGCAAAACAACTTTTCTTAACACAATTTGCTAATGGTGTCGAGCAGTCTATAGTTGAAAGTGCGATGGATTATCAGCCAACTGAATGTTCATTAGAAAAAGAATATTCTGATGATCAAGAAGATGATTATCCTCTCGAAATTAAAAAGTGGATAAACAATATAATTATAGATGCAAAAAATATAGTGGAAATAGATGGATCCAGGGATAATTTGATGTTTCTTCCTGCACTTGATGCCCTTTAAAATTTTATGTTACAAGTAAGTCAATTCAAGTTAGTAACATGGTAATATAATTCAATACTTTTTACTAATATATTATAATATTTTTAAAATCTTTAAACTGTTTAACAATGTTAATTTATTTGGAATATATGTTTTAAAGTTAGTATTTTACTTCTGTAATAGGTGTTTTACAAATTATTCTTAAATACCTATTTAAAAATATTTAAATATCTATTAAAAAAAAACATTTTATTTTCAATTTCACAACCACACAAACATTTTTAAAAGCAAAATTATAAAAAATATTTTTAGTTTAATGTTTCATTTATTTTAATTTTAATTTTATTTTTACAGTACGGGACGAACCCTTTAGATATGAATATAACAACAATAAACAGCTTTATGGAACTTATCAATATTGTTTTGTTATAAAATAAATAAAAGATAATAATTGTTTATTTGACATGAATTATATTAAATTTAGTTTTCTTTTTTTCATACAAGTTAGGTACCTACTAATAAAATAATAAAATAACAGAAATTTCAATTTTATTTTATTTTGATAGCCATTATTGCTCAATTTTATTTAATATTTATAGGTTACAGTTATGGACTTCTATTATATCTAAATCATTTGAGTATGGAAATTTAACCGCATCTTCTGCTTCAGTAGAGAGTCATATCAATGAAATAAAACACTATTCGGGTATAAAATCAAATATAAGAGTCGATGACTTTATAAAATACCACACCTCATACCTAGAAGGTAAGTTGTGTTGTTTGATATAATGTAAATAGAGTGATAATTAAAATTTAATAATAGTTGTTAATTTATATGCATATATATATGTATATATATATAATATATACTATAAATGCTGTGCTCTAATGAATCAAAAATAGGTGCTAGCAATGGAAATAATGAAACATTGCACAATAATAATATATTAACTAGGATTTTATAGTTAAGCACTTTTAACTAAGTTTAATTAATGGGGCATGGAATGTACGCACTAACTTACCCTTAGGTTTCATATTTATTAAAGCATATTATAATACTATTACTATTATAGAAATGTCTGGGATAGTCAGTACAGATTTGGTAAAAGTTATTTTTATGATTTTATATGTAGGTACCTATATATTTATATACCTGTATATTTAAGGTGAACCATTTACACTTGATACATACCATAATGATCACTTGTATACTTAGTCTAAGAATGTTTCTTTTGTGTAAATGTGTAATGAATCCAGAAGATGAAAGCCCACCGAGTGAATGAATTGTGCATTCATGAACAAAGAAGTTATTTTGTATGGTGAAATAATTTGAACATTATCGCATAGTTGAATAAATAAATAATGACAAGATTTCTCACAGATGTAGTAGGTCATGATCAATGGTTAGATAGAGGCACAGAGCTTTATTACTTTGCTAGTAATCCTACATGTAAGTCAGTAAAGACTGACTGCCAGAGTATTGTTGTTGCTTTCAGGCGTGCTTATTCCATTGGCCCATCATACTTGTTTGTGCGAAATATGTTTTGATCTTATTAAAAGCTACATAGGTTTAGTTGATACAATATGTGATAGTGATATTACACATTTTGTCATATTAATTACAAATTATTTATTTATTACAATTTTTAACGACTCAAAGGCTGGGAGTACAGAGTAAATCAACATTAAAGTACAAAATTAATAATAATATAAAAGACAAAGAATACAGTTTAGAGATACAATTTTCTTATTATAAAAGGTATAGAATTGAAATACAAATCAACAGTAGACAAATTATTAATACAGCGCATAGTGCGATCAAGGGAAATTGCAAACCCAATACTGGTTAAGTTATTATTTAATATTAAAAGCTGTTGCCGTAAGTCAGGGGTCTCCAAACCTTTTTATTCAAGGGCCACAAAAAAAATCAAATGCTCTTAGCGGGCCAAAAGTTTATTAACACGTATAGTTTTTAACTTTATGATAATATAGGTACCTATATAAATAATATATTTACTTTATATTTTTGTATAGAATATTGTTTACCTCACAATATACTTAAATAAAAATAAATAGGTATACATATAATATAATATAAATACATTTTTGAAATAATTTTTTTATCTATATTTACCTATGCGTCCAATGCGGGCCACGGGCCGGTTAAAACTAACCGTAGTTTGGAGACCCCTGCCGTAAGTTAAAAGAAGATTGATTCATTTAGTATATTACAGACTACACATATAGTTGTTATAGTATAAATACGATTGGGTTAAGAGTGATAGATTAAATGTTATTATTATGATGTTCAGTTATGAAATTTTGAATCATAATAATGTGAATATAATTTAAATTTAATTTATTAATAGTTATTATTTTTTTTAAATTATATACGACTTTTAACAGGTTCAATGAAATTGGCATCGGGTCTGAAGTATTTCCAAAATCCATTAGGTATTGACGAAATTGTAGAAAACACACACAAAAATGTTAGATTGGAGGATGAAATTTCCACTTGTACAGATATTTCTTGCTTTGAAGACGATTTAAATGAATTTGAGAACTGGGAATCTGAAGATTCAAAATATTTTCTTTTTGTTTTTACATTAAACTGTGGTTTAGATATAACACCGATCTAGATCTGTTGCACAAGCACTGCCAAGTTTGAAACTGAATATAAAAATGATCCAGTATTATGTACTTTATCTTGTACAATTTTGTACAACAAAAATTAAATGTTGTACACCTCCCCTAACACGAGAAAACGTGATTTCCCCATGTCCATGCTGCGTTAACATTACCCCAGCACTGCCAATAAGCAATATTATCAAATGGAAAGATGTCAGCAACACATGTTGATGTTTCAAGTTTTAAACAAAAATATTAATTAATGATTATGTATAGGCATCATTTTTTAAGGTACAATTATAATAATAATTTGTATTTTGAAGAGGTAGCTTAACTTTTTGAACCAGCTACACTTATTTGAAATAAGCAGTTATTGCTGGCCAATTTGAAAGAAGATTAGAGGTGTTAAATTTTTGATGTTCTTGATTTGTGCTAAGAAATGAGAAAAATATGTTATACTATTTCAAAATAAAGTTTACTTTATAGTTATTACTTTATACGTTCATTTGTTTTAGAGTAACAACAAAACCAAAATCGATTTTGTGTAAAATAAATTTAGCGTAAAAATTCCCGTTTTTCTTTAATTTTTCTTTTGTTTTTCACGGTGCTTTTGAAAACTACTGGAAAAATTTTACTTTTGACCCCCCAAAGTACCAACTAGATTCACTTTCCTATCAGAAAAGATGGTGTTGAAGAAAATCCAAGCACGCGGTTACTGTCCTAAAACGTGATGACAGACACAAAAATAAAAAAATTAAGAAATAAAATAAAATAAACACCATTGCAGTAAAACCACTAGCTTCCTCGCTCCACTCAGAATCTAAAAAGGCATGGTACCTAACTAGTTAAAAAGATGGCAACAATTTGCTAACATGATGTACCTACCTACATCCATGATAACAACTGATTTAATTAAGTATAGGTACTTAGTCTAAAATCGACTATCCTCGTTGAAGTTGTTCATATTTGGAAAATTCGCCATACATAAGGTAATACTTTATAGGAAAAATTGAAATAAAAAAGAAAAATAAACACATTTCGCGGACAGGTATTGTTAATCGTTATTATAATGTCGGAAAACGCGTGTTGGTTAAATTCAATTCGACATTCGTATTAATAGTGTGTTGAGTTAATTTTTTATGAAGTTAACTGTTAAATCAACACTCCGCTATATTTATTTTAATTTCATTGAATGTGTTTTCAATACTTATAAATAAATGTTAACCGAAATAATAAAAGTATCTTATCATAACTAATATTATTATTATTTCAATATTACAATAGTTTGCTATTGAACACAATTATCTTGGATTTACCATCTCAACCAGTTATCAATAAAAACTTATCATATATATTGAAATTAAAACCTATGCTTAATGTAATGGAATCGTATAAAAAGTTGATGTAACATTTGATCGTGTCAGATAAACCTCAAGAAATGTTGAATTCAAATATTATAATAAATAATCAATTTAAATTACGTATTATATATTATTATATTATATATATTAGTATATGTATATTATTACGCATTGTATTAAATTTTTACACTTTTTGGCCGAACAGATAAAACATTATTGATATTTATAGAAAGAAAAACTAAAAAAAATTTAAAGCTGTAAATGTCCGTAAATAAATTACAACAAAATAAGGAAATCGCTACATGAGAAATCGAGTGAATATCCAATGTTGTAAAAATTTGAATTTCAAACGCTCATAAAAATTTAATTTCACTTTCCAGTAGAGATTTTTTTATTGATAAACGTAGACAAACTTATGAGTAATCTTGTATTACATTTTCAAATCTTAGATTTAAAAAGAAAAATTTTTACGAATTCTTAACTCAAAAAAAATTTGCTAATTTTCGTGATTTTTCCATATTTTGTCAATTTCTTAACTTTAAATGCTTATAAAAAAAAATTGTGACTAAGGATTTTTGATATTTTTCATCTGCCTTTGAAACAATATACTAGGAGCCTTCTATTAAATTTCAAGCTTTATTAACCAACAAATAAAATGCTATTGATATTTTTAGAAAAAAACTAAAAAAAAATGGAGAATGAAAATGTCCCTAAACAGTTTAAAATAACTCAAAATATTTGTTAAATTTTATCATGTATAGAAAATGGAAATATAAGCAACCAGTGAAATGTTCATGTATATACGTTCATTTGTTTTAGAGCAACAACAAAACCAAAATCGATTTTGTGTAAAATCAATTTAGCGTAAAAATTCCCGTTTTTCCTTAATTTTTCTTTGGTTTTTCACGGTGCTTTTGAAAACTACTGGAAAAATTTTACTTTTGACCCCCCAAAGTACCAACTAGATTCACTTTCCTATCAGAAAAGATAGTGTTAATTTTTTTGTGTGTAATACTAATAAACAATATTCAT